GGAATGGCAGTTTGATTCTATTAACTGGCGCATTTCGTTTTAAAAAGCCCCAAGAGAAATCATCTTAGGCAAGACTGTCCCAGGAGCCAAACTTCAGAAGCATGGGGTGCGGGGTAGATGCTTCAGCACAGCAATGGCGCTTCATCTATCTCTTTTGACCTTCTGGGAATCAAAGCCTGACAGGTCTCTGTGATTTAGAGCTGTGCTCGGTAATGTTTGCCCAAGCAGCGCCAAAGAGGGACACATCATCAAACTCGGGAGGAAGAGGGAGCCCCTGTGTGGGCTCTGGGCTGTGGGGGTCCCTCTGGGAAGATGGAGCCAACCCCAGACCTGGAGATGGAGGAAGACCTACTCTTTCCCCCGTGCAGCAGAGAGCCTTGGATCTGAATTCAAAAGAATTGAGAGGTTGGGCACAACTTTTCTGGGTCCTCTGCCCAAGGCCTCACAAAGCATCAATCATGGTGTCACCTGGCCTGTGCTATCACCTGGAGGCTCGACTGGGGAAGAGTCCATTTCCAGGTTCACTCAAGTTGTTGGCAGAATTTACTTCCTTGTGGCTGCTGGATTGAAGGACCTGGCTTCTTGCTGGCTGTCAGCTGGAGGCCACCTTCTGCTCGGAGGGGCCATTCTTCCTTCCCAGAGACTGCTGCAGTCCTAGAGGCCACCCACAGTTTTTGTTACATTGACTTTCCCAGGATGGTCTTAATTCATCAGGCCATCAAGAAGAGTGAGTCTGCTAGCTAGCTAGTCCTATTTAAGAGAATGTAATCACAACAACGATATTCCATCACCTTTGCCATATTCTACTAGTTAGAAATAAGTCATGGGTTCTGCTCATTCTATAGGAGAGGATCACACAAAGGCATGACCACTAAGTGATAGAGATTGTGGGGCTGCAATAGAGTGTGCCCCACACACACACCACCTGTATCCAACTTCTGCTTCACTGCCTTCCTGTGAGTGTTTTAAGCTCTCTGCAATTTTCTTATGCCCTGCTTCTTCTAACTTACTTTCCCCTTCTTAGTAAATACCATCTAAGCCCTGGCTGGGTAGCACATTGGTTAGAGCATCGTCTCAATTTGCCAAGGTTTTGGGTTCGAGTTCCAGTCAGGGCACATATAAGAAGTAACCAATGAATGCATAAGTAAGTGGAACAACAACAGTATTCTCCCTCTCAAATCAATTTTTAGAAGATAAAAAAACCACATCTATCTCTATTTCCCCCTCAGAATATTTCTTTCCTTCTTATCCCTTCCATGACACAACTTTAATTAATGCAGATATATTNTCTCTCAAATCAATTTTTAAAAGATAAAAAAACCACATCTATCTCTATTTCCCCCTCAAAATATTTCTTTCCTTCTTATCCCTTCCATGACACAACTTTAATTAATGCAGATATATTTTGTTTGTTTGCTTAGACATATTTCTAAAATCTCATGTGTAAAACAGAAGTAATTTTCATTGAAATGAAGAGTTCTTAACTGATTTTGGCTTCTGCATCCTTTTGAGAATCTAAATCTCTAGAGACCCACTTCCCAGACATGAGGGACACACCCCAGTACTATTTCAGTTATTACTGCTGTGTGACAACACCCCTAGTTTAGTGTTGTAAAATCACAACCATCTCATTATGCTCGTGGTTTCAGGAATTCAGACCGAGCACAGTGGGGATGGCTTGTCTCTGCTTCATGATGCCTGGGGGCTCAGTAGGAAAGACTCGAACAGCCTGTCATCCATTCTTGCCCCTTTCCAGCCTGTTCTTCACTCCGTAGCCAGAATGATTGCTCCAAAACACAGATTTGCTCTTGTGCATCACCCACCCTCACCTCCATCCCCCACATCTTCAAACCAAAACCTATGACACTACAGTGGTCAGGCCATTACCAACTTCTCCAGCCTTATCTCATGCCACGTCTACCAGTGTTCCTCCGATCTGGCTCTTGGGGTCACCTTCTTTCAGTTACCTGTATTATTTATGTTGCTTCTTGCCACAGGGCCTTTGCATATGTGTGTCCTTCTATATGGGATGTTTTTCCCTACCCTCTTTGCTTGGTTAACTTCTCCTTAGTCTTTGGATAGCTGCTTGATAGTCACTTCCTCAGTGATGTTCTCTCTGACCTCCCTGATCAGGTCACATATTCCTATTGCATCTTCTCAAGGTCTGTGCATCTTTCAGCCGTAACACTGATCATCTTTACATTGGTGAGAATGTAAAGTCCACATCTCCCATAAGCAAGCCTGGGAGTTCCATGAAGCCATAGCCCACGCATGTTTTTTCACCATTTATTCTTTATACTCTACATAGAGACTGTATAGATATTATGTTCTAAGTGCGAAATATTTTTTATTTTAGAAAGGAAAAAATTTTAATGTAGCCTAAGAATCTGGTGTTTCTTTGCTAGCCTACATTCCAATTCTAGCTCGTGATGAGCTCCAGTTAACTCTGCCTACAGGCAACACAAGCTATTCTTAAAGAGAAGCTCCCATCCTGTCCCTGTCTGGGTAATATTTGGAATAAGGGCAAGCCTTTATATCTTTTAACAACAATTTCAGTCAGTTGATAAGTCTTTGAAGTGAGTTTCTCTGAAATGCTTGTTATCAGTTCTTCTCTGAATTTGGCGTTATTTCAGAGAACATGCTCTCAGTGAACATGCTTTCTTCCCAGCTTTATGTACCACCCACATTCAGAACAAGGCGAGACTGCAGGAAAAACGTGAAGCTGAGTCGATCTGGAAGATAAGGCAACATGAACAGGAAGGACTGAGGGATGAAGGCATTATCAGCATCCGTGTAAAACTGCAAAGCTTCCGTGTAAAACGGACTGAATGGGGTAGCAGAGAAACACAGTTTTTATTGCAAACCAACGCAGTGCCCAAGGAGCACAGACATTTTAATGAAAAGCCGTGTTAGACTTTGGTGTCCTGAAGCTGTATATGCATCTTGTCACTTATTTTTGTGTGAGGTGGGTTTTGGATAACAGAGGCCCGAGGGAGCACTGGATCCTGCAGGAAGGGCTTTAGTGATTCTGATCTGGTGGTTTCAAGACAAAGGAGCTGAGAAGGGCTTTGAGGACTGCTTGCCCAGGGCAAGGGGCTGCTTCTTGCTTACAAGTCCACTGACTTGCCTTTAAAGTAGTATTGGTTTACACCCTGATGTGTCCAATAAATGACTGAAGGCCAGTTCCTTGGGTATCTGTAAGTCCCAAGAATGGGGGATTTAAAAAAAAAAAAGAAAACAAAGAATCAAAAAGGAAATTTTTTGTGATAACTAATTCCAAGTCTTAAAAAAAGAAACTGAAAATAATATTTCAGAAAACCATCACTGTGTTGTGAATACAGAGTATACTGCATATTCTAAAAGCTCAGATATTGTAAGATTTCTGCCCTGGCCAAGTGGCTCAGTTAGTTGGAGCATTGTCTTATACACCAAAAGGTTGTGGGTTTGATTCCCAGTCAGGGGACATACCTAGATTGTGGGTTTGAACCGCAGTCGGGGCATGTATAGGAAACAACTGATCCATGTTTTTCTCTCACATTAGTGTTTCTCTCTCTTTCTCTCTCCCTTCCTCTCCCTAAACATATCCTTGGGCCAGTATTTAAAAAAAAAAAATATATATATATATATTTATTTTAAGATTTCAGGTTTAGTTGTTTGGTGTTTTGTTGGCAGAATACAGGAGTGAGGAAACCTCGCATCTTAACCTGCTTCTGGCCCTAATCAGTTCTGTGGCTCCTGGTAAAAGCTCTCCCCTCTCTGGGCCAGTGTCCTCTTTTGTTAAACAAAAAAACAGGGCTCAGAGTCTGTAATGACTGCTCATTGTGTAGTGCTTTTTTTTAGCAGTTGTTTAGTGCCTTTCTATTTGAAGAGCCCCTCCTTCACCTCCCTGATGTCATTTGCCCCCCAGCAGCCCAGCAGGGGAGTTATCGGCTCAGTGCCCCACTCCACACAGCGGTGCTCCAGAACACAGCTCCCGGTGGCCGGGGTGCAGGCGCACCCAGATTTTCTGGCTGCAATGCTTGGCTTGTTTGTTTGTTCCTAGCAGACAATTCTAACGTTTTTAGCTAGTAATGTAGAAAGCTCTAGAAGTATCTTTTTTTTCTTTTTATTTTAATTTAAAATATTATTTAACAGCACCGAGCCACCTCTGGGGTCATCAACACGATCAGTACCGCAGAACCATAGAAAGAGCGTGAGAGGATCGTTGTAAAGGATGTCATTTCTCTTCCCGCTTTCTGATCACTTGTTCCCTTGCCTCCTTTCCCATGGGGGTCCCCACTTTGTGCTGTGTTCTTGCCTTCCTGCCTGCAGTTCCACACACCAGTGCTGATAGTGCTCGTAGGGACCCCAGGCTTTCTGAGGAGTGTCTCTGGTCTTAGGTTAGACACGAACAGTTTTTCTTTCAGAAATAGCCTAACCTGAAAGAAATCCCCTGTGATTTTTGACATGTCATGAACAATAGCCTCAGGAATCCTTTTAAATCCAATAAGACGCGTCTCCTTGCTGCCATCTTTCCATAGGCAACCTCGGTTATTCTGCTCGAGATGCATTAGGGTCCTGAGAAAAGACCTGCAGTTAGATACTCGGTCCTTTCGTTTGGCAGTTTGGGTTTTGGATGAGGTTTGTTTTGGTGTCATTGGCCGTGGCAGGTAGCCACATTCGTCTTTGACCTTCTAGACTGTGAGTTTCCCAGTCCAACCTTCTTAGGTGGTACAGTGAAAAGATTTAAATTCCGCAGGTATGTCCCACATCTTTGCTTAATCATCACTTCACAGAGACTGCTCGTCTCCAGTCCCGCCCTATAGGTCAGCTGCAGCATCTGCATATTTCTAATTACTTACCTCACTGTTTGAGTGTGTTTAATGCTCTTCTGTGCTGGGGTGGAGCGGCCTGGGCAGTGCCTGTCTTGCCCACGCCTTCACTCCAGGCCCTACCACTGCAACACTTAAGGACTGCCTGATGTCTGACCGCTTGGTGTTTTGTTTCACAGGAGTGGACAATCTACAGATAACTGTCACCCCAAACCCGGAGTCACTTCCTCCTGGGAAATTGTTACCGATTTCACCAACATGGCCTTTCTCAGAAGTCCCGTCTTCCTCGGCAGTGGACAGAGTCAAGAACGTGCTGGGCCCGCCCCCCGACAACACCAGCGTGCTGCAGTTCCCCCGAACCCCTCCTCCCAAGATGCACCGCAGAGCTAGGGCTCAGGGGGACTTCTCTGCCCCTTTCCAAGGAAGCGGCTATAGCGCCTCCCTCGAGCCTTCCAAGGATTCCACAGAGTTGCTGGCCCGACCAGGACCTCAAGGGGGAAAAGAAGCAGCCGGTGTGTCAGGTTTGCCTCACACTAGCATGCTCCCCACATTGTCCACCGTCCCATCAGGGATGTCCTTGAGCCCTGTCCTCCCATCTCAGCCAGTATGGGTAGGGACTCCTTCCATCTCAAAACGACATTCTCTGCGGTCAGACATCCTCCCACTTCTCCCTCCATCTCCACCCTCCTCATTGCCTCCTGACTCACCTCATTCCATCATCTTTTCTAAGCCAGCCGAGCGACCCACCAAAGTGCCTATTTTCCCCCAAACAGCTCCCACTGACTCCCCTTCAAGTCAGAGTGTAGCTAATCCCCTAAACCCATTTGCTGATGAAATGAACCACACTCCATCCAAAAATGCCCAGGATTTAATAGGCATCCCTCATCTAGGTTTTTCTGGATCTTCAACAAAGCAGTATTTGGAGCTGTCCCCCACGGAGGGTCCTCGAGCAGCGGGCTCCCCAACACCAGAGTTTTTGAGCTCCGGGGCAGAACTGGCCCATGTGTCTCCCCCTCCCCTGGCGCCTGCAAGTCTTCGGCTGCCAGGTGGAACTCCCTCGTGGTCAAGGTTGGAAGTGGCTCCAAGTCCTGCAGCCACCCAGCCAATTGAAGCTGAGGTGGCTGAAAGAGTGCACAATGGGGTGTCTTTGAAGAGTGCAGTGGCCGCGGTGACCCATGGGGCTGTGCCTTCACTTTTCCAGACTGCTGAGTCAGTGGCAGGGGAAATGACCAGCGGACAGCTAGCCCCCGCCACTGCAAACGCCTCCGCTAACCCGCGGCATTTGTCAGCAGCTCCAGAGAATTCCGAAGGGCCCATCCTTTCAGCAGAACGTGCATCTTTCTCTTTGGTGCCTTCTCCTCTGCCTCCCACTATAGCCAGTCGAGGACAAGCCATCCTTTCTGGGGCGGTTCCTGCATCACCATCGAAAGGCACAGCAGCAGACTTTCCCTCCACACCGATTTTCCTGCAGCCAGCACAGAATCGTGTCTCTCCATCCATCAAGCCCCAAATGCCAGTTCCTCAGGAAGTGGGCCACGATGGACCCCCTCCTACTACAACTACTGACTTCCTCCTCTCAAGCAAATTTCCTAATCTCCTTGCCACGACTTGGACATTTCCGCTGCAGAAAGAAGATGACGTGACAGCTGCTTTAAAGAAAAACGAAAAGGTAAATTTGACAGCTGCTCTCCAGACCCTTCCAAGTAAAGAGGTTCCGAGTCTTCACACTGTAAATGGATTCACCTCTGATTTTAGCACTGATCGTATTTCATCCACTGTCATTACAACACCGAGGCCAAACCTTCCTTCAGAATCACCTCCACGTTCCATCCCCTCTCTAGGAGCCACCCAGACTGTTTCCCCGTCCCCCAGCTTTTCCAACAGCAATCCAGAGACTTATGCAGCTGCAATGGACCATTCTGAGTTGCCAGTTACAACTTCTAAGCGGGTGACACAATTTCCCTCCTCCACTGAGGTCTATGGTTTCTTAACAATGGGAAGTGTGAAAGAGCCAGCAGTCAAAGATGTTTTTTGGAGTTCTCTTTCAGCAGAAACTGGATCCCTTTCCACAGAACCGACGATATCTGGCTTGCCACAGCAAACAAATTATGATATAAATGGGCACACAATTAACTCCACAAGTTGGAAAACTCATTCAGTTTCCTCTACTGCTCCCAGTAGTTTAGCTTCAGCTGTTAGTACAATAGAATCTCAGGATCTCAAAGACACTGCTGGGCATTTAGCAACTGCAGGCTTTAGCATTCAGGATCCAGTCCTTGATACAAGCACCAGTCAGTTTGTCCAAGAGTCAGATGTTACCATGGTTGGAAACCATACAGATGTCTTGTCCAGAAGTAATAACGACCATTCCAGAGACTTCCAAGCCGCTGAGGTTGAAGGTGACCCATCTACAAGTCAACATCTTCAGACTCATCCCCACCTACAGCGGCCTGCTCATCCAACACATCCTCTCTTGCTAACCTCTCCAAGTCTGCCTTCCACAGCTGGCTTGCAGGAGATGCTTTCAGATGGAGTGGATACAAGTTTCCAAATTTCCAGCAACATCTATCCATCTCCTGTGATAAATGCTTCCACACCACTCCAGAATATCCTGAAATATCACTCCACTGCCGAATCTCCTCTGTCAACCAGTGCCTCATTCAGGACCCCATCCAAAGTGCTTCTGCCTTCTCAGCGCCCCAAGAAATGGACAGGTGCAGCCACTAATGCAGGTAGTTTGTTTCCTGGTACCCAGAAAACAGGTATGACTGCTCCTGTGGCCAAAGCATCTTCAAGCTCAACACAGATCCCCAGCTTTGCTCAGGAGCAGACACACCCTTCCACACTGATGAATGACTGAGCACACCAAATAGTCATGTCCTTTATAAACCTCTGTCAACTTGGTGTTTTTGAAAGTATTCGGAATATAAGTGTCCTTATTACCAACCATAGCTTTGCTATAACTGGAATTCTCATTATGGTTAATTGACTTAATGAGCCTAAGCTGTTTGGCCTAAATTTCATAGCACAGAGACTTTTCATCCCAGCAAACCCATAAGTTACATCCATTCATCACCACACGTGATGTGTGCACTATGGGCCAATGACAAACTTTGCTTTTTCTCTCTTTACAGTGGACTTCACAGTGTCATCCAAGGCAGAGCCAACAGCAGCAGCAGCATCCACATTGTTTCTGAGGAAATCTAGTCCACCAGCTCTGTCTGCAGCCCTAGTCGCTAAGGGCCCTGGCAGCAGCCCTTCGGCCGTGGCCTCAGGATTAGTCAAGAGCAGTTTGACCACTGCTCTAGCTAAAAATGTCACAAACAACACAGCACCTGGCCCAAAGGCAACACCAGGGGCAGTCCATCCAGCCTTCTCGTTCACACCAACCTACATGTTTGCAAGATCAGCACACACCATGAGCACTCATACAGCCATGCAAGGGAACACAGGCACCGCCTCCGGCCTGTTGTCCACAACACACCTGCCCAGGAAGCCACAAGCCATGCACACGAACTTCCCAAACCCCACCAACCCAGACCTGCCCAGGGCGTCCACCACACGCTCCCTGACAATCGCAGCAGCCTTGACATCCATCACGGCACCAGTAAGGGCCACCCGGCTGCCGCCTCTGCTGGCAGAAAACCCAAATGCTGCTCTTCCCGCCGTGTCGACAGCTATGGTCACAACTGGCAAAATGCCATCCAACCTGGAGTGTCAGATGTCCAGTAAACTCCTGGTGAAGATAGGTGAGGCTCCACTACCCTGATTTCACTTGAAAGCAGCAAGCACATGGTGGCTTCAGAGATGCAACAGAATTATTAGATTTCTTTGTGATCGGCGGTTCTCAACCAGGGACAGTTTTGCTCCCCCTACCCCAGGGGATATTTGGTCACATCTGGAAATGTTTTGGGATCTCTACAATTTGAAGGGTAGGGAGGGTGCTACTGGCATCTAGTGAGATAGAGATTAGGGATGCTGCTAAACATCCTACAGTGCCCAAAATGTCAGTAGTGCCAGGGTTGAGAACCCCTGATCTTTACTAAGTGACAGCGGAGAGGACAAGCATTATGTGACACGATCTTGTCTTGGGATCAGTCCTGATACCAGAGGCCCCTCGGAAACCAGTTCAGCCAGGGGTCTGAGGAAGCAAATATGCACCAAGTATTGCCTGCAGAGTGAATCGGTGATGTTTCACGCGAATGAATGAAGTGTTAGTAAACTATATAATCTTGGGAAGTACCACAGAATTCACAAGGGCTTTTTGTCATTTTTTTCTCAATCAGCAGCTACTAAAAGTACAGCTCTGTGGGCTCCCGGTATTTCTTTTGATGTTAAAAAGGAGACCTTGAAAATGTTGGGTGGTCGATGCTATCTTTTCAGGCCCCACCTCTCAGTTGCAGCAAAGCAGACCAAGGAGGCACAGGGTCCTTTTTAAAGTGTGGTAGTGTTTGCTCTAAAAAGCATTAGACACAGTGTTTGGTGGAGCATGCCAGTGTTGAATGCTCATACCGCCTTCCTCTTCACCCCACAAAGAGCGAAATGAAATGATCTTTTGGGAAATACCCTATTTTTAAAATGGGAAATTGTGAAACTAGGCATAGCAGAAAGTATAGTATCTATTTCTCTATGTCAAGAAATTATGCCATCTGGTTTTCCACTTTCCCTCCCCTTCGCTCTCCATATCTAGCCTCTTCCTCCAAGCAGCAACCTCAACCACCTAGATGCAGAAGTCTAGAACATTCTCCCCCTCTCATCTTCACCAACCCTCTCTCACCCAAGCCACACGCAGTCCATTGCCAGTTCCTTTCAGTTCTACCTCCAGAACCCCTTCTCTTCACCACCGTTGCCACCTCCCTAGTTCACATTGTCACGATCACTCGCCTAAATTTCTGCAATAGCAGCCAAATTTATCTCTCTACCTTCAGACTCCCACCTCCCCTCGCAACATATCCTCCAGTCTGCAGTTAAAGGAGCCTACTAAAATGTGTGTCTTTATTTAAAACCCTTTACTTCCCGTCGTCCTCAGGACCAAGCCTAAACACACACACTGAAATACTTCACGTTTCTCCCCTGTGCCTTTGCACTTGGTCTTCCCTCTGCTGGGAGTGGGTGGGGACCGTTCCTTCCCTGCTTGGCCTAGCTCACTCCCATTATCCTTCAGGACTCAGCAGAAGCATCAGCTCCTCCAGGAAGCCTTCCTTGATCCCCACTCCCTTGCCCAAGTCAGGCTGGATGCTCCTCCTGGGGCCTCCGACAGCGTCCTAGGCTTCCCTTCTCTCGTCCAGTCACAAATGCGCATTTTCACCTTGGCCTCCATCCCTGTCTTTGTTGCAGTTGTGGGGTGGGGACTGCCTTTCTGTTTCAGAGCTGTTTCAGGCTGCAGCACCTAGCTCAGGGCCTGTACCTGAGTTGGCTCTCGGGAGTGCTATTGAAGGAATCTTCTTGCATGCAGACCCATCAGGGGTAGGTCCTGCTGAGCCCCACTTGTCCAAGTCAGAAGCAGCATTGGTCTGAAATGAAGAGCCACCAGTATGATAGCTGTCTCTCCACACAAGTGGCTAAGGCCTTCTTTCCTCAGGACTTGAGCGGGACCAGCGGAGCTCTAATCCCAGCCCACCTCTCTCATTAGAACTTGTGGGAGGTGGTGGCTGGGGAGGAGAGGATGACCCATTTATTAGGACATCTGCTGCCTTACCCTGATGACCACACTTTGGTTTTGTCCCACAGTTCTCTTTGTGACGCAAAGGAGAGCGCAGATCAGTGAAACCTTGAAGCTCAATATAGCCAAAGGGCTCACACAGGCATTGCGGAAGGCTTTCCACCAGAATGACGTCTCGGCTCACGTAAGCCCCTTGCTCTTATAATCAGACTAATCCATCTGAGCATGTTCAGATTGTTCTCTTCCTCCCGGGTACCATGACCATCGGCTGGAAGTAGCATCTTTTTCATTTTGGCAAATAGTTGCTGTGTGGTGGCTGGAGAAGAAGGTCACACTTTGAGATGGAAAATTGAGGCTAATTGCCTTATGTCCAGATTTTTTTAAAGCCTGGATATACTGTTTTAAATTGTCCTATTATCCCATTGTTTGGAAAAAGTACTTAGTAATTGCTAGTATAATTCTCCAGACACCATCCACTGCTTCTTTCTTTATCTTCCCCACCATTGTAAATAGTTAATGATTTATCTCTGGACATTTAAAAATTACTCTGACTTGTAATTGAGGCCAACTTTGCGTAAATCACCAGCAGCAGATGGGGAAGTAAACACTTTTTTTTTCTCCAAACGCTTTAATGCCAAGTACTATTTAACAACTGCTCGCTGATTTTGGTGGCGTATCCCAGTGATGGAGGCCTCGCTTTACAGGCTTTTGGTTTGGTTCCAAGTTTTAAAGCAGTAACTGCAATTGGCGGTCGGTGGGCAACCCTTTGTACCACTTGAAAATGTTGCTCTGGCCTTTTCCTTTGATGCTTTGCTCTGCAGCTGCTTTGGCTTGGTGGTCCCTTCCCCCCACACACACACACCAAGGACTAGAAATTAGGTTTGGTACATAATTTGTTGGCCATTGTCAATTTCTTTTCTATAATTCTGGAAGGAGGGAAGGAAGGAAGGAAGGAAGGAAGGAAGGAAGGAAGGAAGGAAGGAAGGAAGGAAG